CAGGGGCGGGGTCTAGACTGGAGATAAATTAAGTGTAGAAGACCTCTGCATGAGACTGAATGAGCTCACCAAGGAAATGAATATAGATAGAAAATAGAAAAAAAAGAAGAGGTGTAGGGACACAGGCTCTACAGGGGAACAGATTTCCACTCCAGGAAGCTGTGGGGGATGGAGGGAAATAAGACAAATACCAGGAAAGTGCCCTGACCAAGAAAGCAAGTGAGGAGGAGGAGGGAGAAACCAGCAGGGTCCAACCTGCTGCTTAGTCACATGAGTTAAGTACAAACACCTCACCAGTACATCTAACAAAGTGAAAGTGACTGGTGACTTTGGGAAGAGCAGTACAGGTGAAAGTGTGCGGCTGAATGTGCATTAGAATAGATTCAGCAGACATGAAGAGGTCAGGAAATAGAGAGAGTTAAGTATCAACAAGTATTCCAAAGCCTTTTGTCAGGTGAGCAAAGAAATGTGGAGGTGACTACAGGCAGAAACGAGTGGGGAGGGTTTTAAGTTGTGAAAAATACTTATATGTCTGTAGGCTGATGGAAATGATTCTATGTTGAGGGAATATTAATGATTTAAGAGACGGAGAGGGGCATTGCTGGGTCTTGCCCTTGACCAGGCAGGAGGGAGTGGGATGCAGAATGCAAATGGGAGGTGACGGTGGGAGCACGGACAGCTGACCAGTAACCAGAGAGAGGGGGCAGAATAGGGGTGGGGACGTGGGTAGTGGGAGTTGTGGAAGCCGTCTTGTGGTTGTCACTTTTTTCAGTGAAGGAGAAATCGTGGTCATCAGCTGAAAGTGAGGATAAAGAGGGAGGTAGTGTTTAAGGAGAGAGGAGAAGGTGTGAAATAGCTGTCTAGGAGGATGGGACCATGAACAGATGATGAAAATGTAGTACGGTTTTTTGGCAGACTTAAGAGCCCACTTGCATTGTGTTATCATGAATTTAAGATGAGCCTACTCGACATGGCTGTGCACAGCCACATTCTGCTGCGAGTCTCTGAAGGTGGCGTCGGGAAGAGTAGCCAAGTGAGTGCCTTAAGGAAGGAGAGGGATGGGGGAGCTGAGAATATAAGGCAAGGGATTTTGAGAATTTGGACATGGCCATTGAAAAGTGGTGAAGAGAGAAGAGGGAATGTGAGAGGGAGAGAGATCAGATTGGGAAGTTTAATAGATTTGTGGGTCCTGGTGAAAGGCAGTCAAAATAGGGTTCCTAGGGGGAGTAAACCAGAAAGACAGGGAAGAGTAGAAAGAGGTGATAACTGAACTTGGGTTTCAGAGGGTTTGCAATCAATGGTAAGGACAAGAGCTAGACTGGTGGTTCTCCAACTTTTAATGTGCATATAAATCCCTGAATTTCTTGTTGAGATGCACATTTTGATTCAGTAAGTGTACTTGGGCAGACCTGAGATTCTGCATTTCTGTCAGGCTTCCAGGTGACGTAGATGTTTCTTGTCCAGGGATCTCATTTGAGAGAAAACTAGCTAGAGCTTTCTCAACCCTAGCAGTAAGTCACAGCCCCTTGACAAGTTTAAAAAATACGGGTGCTAGAACAGTCTTGATGGTGAGTCAGGGTTTCTGTGGGTTCGATTTAATTTCTCTGGATTGGATGTAGAACTGATACATTATGAATGTCCAAAGTAGTCTACAGTGAGGCCAGGATTGAAAGTCTTTGGCCTTTCAGTGTGAGTGTCTTAGAGACCAAGATCATGGCAGGAAGGAGGGCTGTGTACTTGAGAGGTCAAAATGTGGAAGGTGTCATGTTTGTCGGGTTATTAAAATCGTTGGAAATTGTGACAGAAAATGTGCTGGATAAAATGACTGTGAGTACGGAGGTCTGTAGATGATTACAAAAAAATATAGAAAGTGGGTGACATAATCTGATGACATGAGATTCAAAGCAAAGCTGTTTGGAGAGAATGGTCTAGAATAGACAGGGCAGAACAAGAAGGACACTTACTGACCCCCAGGCCCAGTGTAATTTGGATTTGGGAAATCAAGAAGCCACCATGCGAGAGCACTCCAGAAGAAAACACAGTAGCATCATGAAGAGCTGGGTTTTAGTTAAAGAAAAAATGAAGAAAACCATCTAAAAAGAGTTTGAAATTTTGGAGAATTTTGCTGCTGCCTTCCAAAGCAGCTTGGAAGGCTGTCGAGACTTTTGCACGGCGGGAGATGGGGATGCGCCAAGCAGTATGAGGATTTGAGTGCGCACGGTGAGTGATGACCTGAGCTTCTTGTGGAGATGCGGTCTCAAAGCAGGACGTCGAGGCAGCTGGGAGTACTGGCGTGAAGGGAACAGGAGGCAGGGGCAGCCAGAAGCTGGAGGAGCCCACGGCTCACCTCTCCATTCCCATGACTATTTCTAAGCAGTAGTGAACCCTCTGTTTCTTTAACCAAAGGCATTACAAGTGAACCCGGTGTGGAAGACAGAGCAAAGCGGAGCTTCTCTGGTTAAAGCCAGAGTTGGGGAGGAGGGCAGTGCCTCCCCCCAGGACCCTGGGGGCCTCCTCAGTACTTCTGTACTTCTGGGGTTCTTCAGGGGCCCTCAAAACTCAGGTCATAGTCACTGTTCCAGCACCGGCAAGAGACTTGAGAAAAATGTGGAGTGATGTATTTGAAAGTAAAGATGGTTTACCCAGTAATCATGGAGGTCTTTTTAGATCTTGTCAATTGTGCAGATTGCTCTTTTTCTTCCATGTAATAAACTTTCAAATAAACAAGTGGTTTGCAATATCCCTTGGGATCTCTTAATGTCACTTATGATCAAAATTATATCACTGTTATTAACTGATGTGATTTAAGTAGAAGAAACCATAGTTTTCAACAGTCACGGGTTAGGTCGGATTCTCCAGAAACAAACCATGAGGCCAAGATTTGAATGCAAGAGGTTTTTTTTATGGAAGCATTCATAGGAGAGAGAACCTTACAGGTTGGTGGAGCATGCTGGACAGAAAATGAGAAGCCCAGTAAGTGTGGACATGCAGGTGACACCTCAAGGAGATAGCTTCAGCCTCATCCCGCAGGGGAAGTTTGGAGAGTAGCAGCTCAGATTCTGACCCCAATTGGATACAAACCATATTTCCACACCCGTGAGACAATGGCTGAGATGGGGGGAGGTTGTGGGGCGGGGGAGGTTGTGGGGCAGGGGAGCTGTGAACCCCTAGGCATTTCCAGGAAGGGTCCAGGAGTCTGAGACCCATCTTTCAAGGAAAGAGTAGCAATTATGGGTCCTTGAAAGGAAAGTACTAAGAGCACACTCACACACACACACACGCACACACACAGTGGATCCAAGACCAACTTGGGGCAGCCCAACAGTGCCTTCTATAAGTGGAAAGCTTTCTTTGGAATGGCATAGATATGCCTACATAAAGATTCGATTAAAAAATTAATGTCCGCTTTCAGTTATCATCAGTGATAATTAATGATAATTGATCATTATTGTCCTACTTTGTAGCAGTATGAATTTTGCTACCTTCCCTCTTGCGCTTCTAGCGAGACCATACTACTATACACATATGGCCAAATTTTGAGAAAATCCAGGTCAAGAGGGTATGATTCTCTGATCAGATATATCCAAGCATGGCCCTGACTGAATGTGCTGTCTGTATTTGGAAACAAAATGCATGTTTTCAAACTCCACTGTTTTAGATGGATTCCATTCTGTTTCTCACTACCGTAGTGTAAATACAAGAACGTTTTGCCATTTCAAAATTCATATCACTACAAATAGTTGCTCTTATCTACATCCTCAGATGTTTATTTCAGGGTTGTTGTTGGGTTTTGTTTTTCCCTTTAAATTGTGGCCCTTCTTCTAAGGATTAGAGGAGCGTTATTTTAGAGTCCCTATGTTGGATGTAATTTAGAGCTGTACCAAGTCAAACCCACTGACAGATTTAGAGATTAACTTCCAGACCTCTTGCAGTGCCGGAGAAACTCCTCAAGATTTTGAAAATGGCAACACTATTGACACTCTACTGCTAAAGACTACTTGTATCCATTATCCCATCACTATAAAAGGAAAGTTTAAGTGTGGCAAATATCAATGTTGTTTTTGCTTTATGGAAAAACCTGTGCATAGAAAAAAAAAAGATGAAGCAACAGCACTTTATAGAACAAGAAATAATTTATCCTCCATAAGGAAAGCTTATATAGCTATATCTCCCACCTTTCGATCTGGAAGGATAACATTGCTGTTGCAAAATTGATGTTATTTACATGGAAAAACTAGTTCAGTAGTTTTGAACAGTCATGTATTAGGTCAGGCTTCCCAGAAGCAAACCATGAGTCAAAAGTTTGGTGCTAGTGATCCACCAAAAGAAAGCTTTGAGTATGATGTATATGCTATTTGGATTATATTGAAAGTTGATACAAAACCTTTTTTTCTCCAAGTAATTTTGGCTTAAGTGTGTCTCCAAATATGTGTTTGCTACATTTTAACATAAGTGCATTTTGGGGGAAATTTAATCCATATGTTTCAGCAAGGTTACACGTAAATCATCCAAATGTGGATTTATTAGAGCTACATGATGTCTAAGATGCCTGTTGAGCTTTTTTTTAATGGTCTTTACATTCTTTTGTGAAAAGCAGCGAGTAAGTTGCCAAGAGTAAACAAATCGAATAGCAAAAGGTTTGAGTTGAGTTTTGAAATGCTTAGCCCATTATTTCTGATTGGGTTCTGAACTTGGCAGTGCGCATTCCCTGTTCTCAACTTGGCAGTGCGCATTCCCTGTTCCTGACCGAAGTGAAAACAATTTGAACACTGTATTTCCCAATTGGTTCATTGACATTTGAGAATAATGGAGTACAGACAGAATCAGCCTGTTTGGCAGGTGAGTGATACTTAACATGACTTCAGAAAGTTACTTCCTCTCGGTTTGCAGAAGCTCAGAGCATGAAGCAATGTTATACAAATTATAAAGCTCAAGTTAGGACAGACAGCCATGGAAGGCTCCGTACTGGGGATTTACCTATTTCTCTTGTGCATCTTTAGGTGGAATGGTTGAAAAATGAAGACATAATTGATCCCGTTGAAGATCGGAATTTTTATATTACCATTGATCACAACCTCATCATAAAGCAGGCCCGCCTCTCAGATACTGCAAACTATACTTGTGTTGCCAAAAACATTGTTGCCAAGAGGAAAAGCACGACTGCAACTGTCATAGTCTACGGTGAGTGAGCTGTCCGAGTCTCAATCTAATTCATGTCAAACTACCGTTTCTCATTTTAATTTAAAACATCCAAGAGAGGCCCCTTGGCAATCATCACCGCTCTCTCCCAGCTTCAGGCTCCGACAGTGAGGTTTACCTGCTTCCCCCATACTCATAGAAAGACTAGACTTGGAAATTCCTAGCCCTTGTCAGTGAGCTGATGGGGAAGATGAAGGAAGTCTTCCTGAGTGCCTGCACCAGAGCGAGCAGATGTCCCTGCCTCTCTAAGCCCTCCCCTCTCCATACCCCGGACCACCCAGAGCCCGAGTGAATTTGGAGATGGAGATGCTTGAGTCAGCATGCTCATACTTCTGTGGGCCTTGGCTCAGTCAGGTAAACAAGCTGACCTGTTCCCCAAACACATCAGAGCAACATTGACTTCCTAGAATTTGCTTCACACTCTCCCTCAGGGAGACTTAGAGTGAAGGCAAGCACTGCTATCCCCGTGGCCCTCATCCTAACCACGTGGCAAGGATCAACGTGATGATTTCTTCTGGAAGATTCTCTTCCACTTTCTGGTCCTTTCTAGTCCAGCTCATCTCTGACGGGGCCTATCCTTTCTCCAGAAATACTCAACAGTTCCACTCCCAATTTTGCTGTAGCATGGGATGCTTTTATTTTTCTGCGAGTTTTAGCGCTCAGTTGTCTTCCAGGCATTCTATGGGTAGTTTCATTTCCCCAGCTGTGCGGTAAGCTCCGTTATAGATGGAAAGACCGCTCTGTCTGTGCATTTCTCACAGTGTTGGACATACAGAAGGCCCTCATATTCTTGATGATTTCTTGTATCAGAGGTAACCTAACAACCTGGGAAGTATTTTGAGGGTATGACCCTCTTACCTGAGATGCCTGTGTCACACCACCCGCTTAGAACTTAAGGAAGTTCCTCCTGGCTGCGTTAGTGTCAAAGGCCATTCCAGGGGCCTTCAGGTCTGGGTGACTAGGAAGGAGGGGTCGCTATTGGCAAGTATCTGGCTCGTGGTACTTAACAGCAGATAGTGCCCTTCGGATGGAGGTCCTTGTGCTGTAAGGAGTTATGAGAAACAGGAGCCACTGTGATGTTCCGAAGGCTGAGCATGGGGATGCTTTAAATCTCTCGTTTTCATTACAAGACAGATACCGACTATTTTTTTAATCCTCTGAGTACTCTGAGGCTGAATTTCCTCGTCAAGATAATGGCTCAGTTAAATTGTAAGCAGTTTCCTCTCTCCAGTCACAATGAAATGATCCTCTTTTTGTCTTTTCCTAAAGTGGCTGAAGGGCTTGATTAACAGCATTTCAAGGACAAAAGAGAAACAGAGCCCATCACAGCACGTAGTAATCATAGATAACTAAGGAAGACAGACTCTCTGCGTATGCATTATATACATGTTTAATATACACGCAAATCTCTTTTCCTATGTATAGCATGCTTTCAGTATCTATAAATACAAGCTGAACATTGTTTCTAGAAAGACTCAAACACAAGGAACTTGAGCATGTTGAGTTCAGAAAACAGCATCGGACTAGGGGTCAGGAGGGTTGTGCTCTAAGACTAGTTCTCCCACTAACTGACCTTCAGTGGGCCACTCGACCAGGATGCTGGGAGCCCGTGTCTCCTTCTCTGTAGAATGAAAGAATCAGTCTGGGACTTTCACATTCCTTTTTTTTTTTTCCTCTAGAAGTTTATGATTATTCATTTCTCATTAAAATCCTACCAGAGCAGTACATGTATACTATAACCCCCAATATTGGCCTGCCAGTATGCTAGTGAGCAGTTTATACTGACAATTCCATGACATCTGGTTTTGTAAAGCTGAGCAGGTTAAGTTGCTTTTTGGAACACTGACTGAAACTCAACCTATCAACCATCTGTTTGTCCTTTTCATGGCCCCATAAAGTCAGTTGTCCAAGGCTCATAGATGAGGCTCACCAGAAGCCCACAGCAAAACATATACATCTAATGAGTATTTCGTTTTCGAGTCTGTTGTGTGTATTTATTTTTGTTAGTATCCATTTGTGGATTGCAAATACATATCTGTTCTAGAAAATTAGGGAAACACAGAAAAGGTCAAAGAAGAAAATGCCCATAATCCTGTCATTTTGTCATCCAAAAATAGCTTTCAAAAAGGTTGCTATGCATGCTACTGGTATTTTCTATGCCTAGATAAGATTTTAAAATAAGGGGGTATAAATATATTTTTACTTTAAACATAATGATGAAATAGTCATATATTATTAAATAGACTTCTCTAGCACCATTTCTAATGGCTGCCTACATGTCAATCACATGAACAGGTATCTACTTTACCATTTTCCTATTGTTGAACATGACAGTTGTTTAGAAGTATTTATCTTTATATAGAAAATAACTGCGATGCAAGAGCACTCTTGTCTGTGTCTGTATATATAACACATTCTTGATGATTTCCCATTGTATAGGTTTCTAGAAGAGGAGATATCGGGCGTATGATGTGCACCTAGCAGGTGTGTGCTGCCCGAATGTCTAGCCCTCTTCTTTATGATCAGGAGGCAGACACTCATTCTCGTTGTGTCAGGTTTTAACTACCAGGAAATAATTTTTGTTAGCCAATGCTTAATTACAATAATTGAATCTCAACTCACATGATGTAAGTATTAAAATATATCAGAGTATTTTCTAGAAGGAGATCTCCAGAGGTGAATAGTGAACATAGTGTCAGAATGTAGGTTTTATAGTCATACCTATACAGAACTCTCCGTCAGACACCACAGTGAGCCTTTACACACAGCATGGGTGTCCATTTCAATTACATGAACTAATTGCCAATTCAATCAAATAGCTACTCAATCAGTTTAAAATCTAGCAATATCAAGATTTTATTTTTTAACCAGGTTCACTGGGTTATTGAAACTGACTACAAGTCCTTAAAGGGTTGTAAAGTTTACATATGCTAAAGAAAACTAATCAGTCATCTGCTATTAAGAAAAACCTACATGATTTTATTCAGTTCTCACACTTCAGATCCACCTGCAGCCTTGGCATAAGGATGTAAACATTTATTATTTCCGATAAGCTGTCAAAAATAATTTTTGGAGCTTGACTAGGTAAGGGGAATATATACTTTTAAGAACACTGGCCAAGGAAAATAGAACCTACTTTTCTGAGTAGGTGAGTAAATTTGGGTAATTCCTTTTATTTATCTCTATGCTTAGATTCTTCTGTTCTTTGATAATACTTTGAATGAAATGATGCTCCAGGTCTCTTCTAGCTTTGAAATTTTTGATTTTTTTACGGTCACTTAGCAGAGAGTTTTTGTTTATGTGTTGTGTGTAGTTTGTATATCTGTGTGTGCACGAACACACATGTAATTCACATTTTGTATTTACCTTCTTCCAGTCAATGGTGGCTGGTCCACCTGGACAGAGTGGTCTGTGTGTAATAGCCGCTGTGGACGAGGGTATCAGAAACGCACAAGGACCTGCACCAACCCAGCACCACTCAATGGTGGTGCCTTCTGTGAAGGGCAGAGTGTGCAGAAAATAGCATGTACCACCTTATGCCCAGGTAAATAAACCAGCGTTCTCATTCCAAACGTGTCCTCTCATTCTAGGAATATGTTTTCGGGGATGTATACAAAGCCTTATTCTTGACCTGAATGTGTGATAAACATTATTTATATCCATCATACCATTCAGTGCTTACACTGCTGAGAAATCAAGTATTTTTCCCCAAACAGTACTTAAATTTATTACCCAAACACGCAAAATAGAATAAAACAGGAGATTAAACATGTAGAGACATAATCGTTCTCTATTACTCAACAAAACTGCTGGAGGCAAGATTATAGGTTCTGTAATTCAAGGGATTTAGGCAGCACTGAAAGCCACTCATTTTAGGAATACAACACTTGATCATCAGACAGCCATGGAAATTATTGGAATTAAAATTTAGAAAATGTTTTAGACTGAAATATTTGATATTTGATGTCAGTGTCTGGGCAAGGGCAAATAAAACATTTGGAATGAATTAAAAGGAAGGCAAAGCTTTGTGACACATGGGCTAATGGATTTTGAAAATACAATACAGTCAGCTTTTTATTATCTGCACACGTTGGTCACCTATTTTTGTTATTTGCTGTGATACCTATAGTGAGATTGCATCCTGCCACTGAGCATCTTTTTTGCTGTCTCATATTGTTACCAGCTCTTACCCCAGGCAAATCGAAGGTGGTATTTGCCAAACTTAAAACCAACTAAAATGCTTAATTACATAATATATTAAAAAGTTAAGCTAAAATTATTTTGAAATAATCCATAAATTTAGTGCATTCCATTGGGGTAGCTGTTACATTGTCAATTTCATTATTTATCTGTATTTTATTTTTTTGTGATTTCATTATTTAGAAAGTCTCCTTACTTCTCTTTATTTAGCTTACTTTTTGTCTTATCCATCCTTTAATAGATAGTTTATCAGAAATGGGTTATAAGAATGAACTGTAGAGAAAAATATATATTCCTAAGTGTCCATTTTCAAATATCCAAACAGTATCCCTTTGGGATATTTTGTTTGTGTAACAAATTTTGACACTTAGCTAGGTTTAGAATTTCAATATTTTACCTTATACTCTCCTATATTTTATCTAGATGTTGACTTCTACAATTAAAAATGCATTGAGCCTTTTGAGTCGAAATAAAAGTGTGTGTGTGTGTGTGTGTGTGTGTACTTTAGGATGATCTAGGTCAGAGCAAATGTCTTTTCTCCAAATAGCTGGGAGTTGCTTAAATAGCCAACTCTGGATGATTGAAATATTAATGCTTTCATCATTTTTTTCATATGGGCATGTTTATATCTCTATATACATTATATATAATATATTTACACAATAATTTGAATATGAAATCATGGATTTCCTAAACTATGTAGACTATTAAAATGGATATAATTACTATGAATATATAAGTATAAGATGTTATGTATAGTAGATGTTCAATAAATGATGTTTGATATGTTTTTTATTGAATTCTAGATAATCATAATTATGTATTTCAGGAATTTTTTTAATTTAACTGCTTTTTAATATTCTTGTCCTATTTAAATAAGAGTTTTTTAAGACTGCATTTTAAGTGTGACTTTAGTGAAATTTACTGTATTTTTTTTCAACTTAGAATTTAAGTTGTGTGTTTTAAGATAGAGATATATCAGCTCAGTATCATTGCGATTACTAACAAGCCAGCAACAAAAATTAGGGAGAAAGTTAGTCAATTCTAAATGACTGAACCACAGTAAAAAATTAGGAATGTGTGTAAATATTATTTGTAAAATAAAAATAGAAATATATATGTCATCAAATAATGGAATAGAATTATCAAATAATATATGGAAAATAACAGTCATTTCAACAAAGCATTGCAGAAGGTCTCAACAGAATCAAGCTGCCTGGATAAAAAAATAAAATGAAAAGAGTATTTAAGACATGGATGAGAGATAGAGAGATAGATAGATAGATGATAGATATGGATGGATGGATGCATGGAAGGATGGGTCAGTGAGTGGATAGATAGACTTCTTCTCCATTATACCAACCTCTTCTCCATATCAACACACAAGTTTACTTGCACTCCCCACATGACACTATGCATGAAGAAATCTTGGATCTAAAAAGAGGTCCCCTAATTCTCAATGCAAAATCCAAAAGCTTCTCTTTTAACAGGAAAAAAAAAAAAAAGCTCCATCATGATCTACTTTTATGTGCCCCCTGGTCCTTACCAGCTCCTGGTGACAACTTTGGTTTCTGTGTCTCCCTTGAAGCGATTCCTTGGCTTGGTCAGTAAGGACACAGTCACGCCCCCAGGAAGAAAAGTTCACAGAACCCTAATGATGTATGTCGTGCATGCTCACTTCCCAGTAGTGGACATGAATGCAGTACTCCTTGATGGGACATTTTCTTCAGTTTTGTTTTGTTTTATCTACACGTGAGCTCTACTCCCTTCTCCCCTCAAGTAGCTGCTTCTCCTTCTGACCTTCTGCTGGTTTTTGTGTGTGTGTGCATGGCAGTGGATGGCAGGTGGACTTCATGGAGCAAGTGGTCTACTTGTGGGACCGAGTGCACACACTGGCGCAGGAGGGAGTGCACGGCGCCCGCCCCCAAGAACGGAGGCAAGGACTGTGATGGCCTCGTCTTGCAATCCAAGAACTGCACTGATGGGCTTTGCATGCAGAGTAAGTCAATTTGAACAAACAAAAGACAGGTGCGAGGCCTGAGGTTTAACCATTTGGATTTCTTGGAAATATTAAAATTAAGAATTCCGAACAAAAACAAAAAAAATGCAGTAATATGCCAGTATACTAGCTCTGTCTCAGAATTGAAAGAACTAATCCCCCAGGAACCAGAATGAATAATAACTGTCCAGTTAACAAATGACATACACAATATTGCATTCTCTTGAGCAGAGAGTGATTTAGTCATATCCATGGGGACACTGTCACTCTTTCCAGACCAAGGAACCATTCCTTAGTTTTATTTGAATTCATAAAAGGGCACGCTAAACTTCTCAGAGTAGAATCACATGACTTCGAAAAAGTAAGCTATTTATTCCTAATTCATGACCATTACCGAACCAATGTCCATGAATGTGAAATACATATAAAGCACAGGAAATGGTCCTGCAGATAGATTTACCAATTTACAGCAAATGCTTAGTGGGAGCATCTCCACAAGTCCTTGAAAATGCTAGGTTTGTGTTAATAATTGTTTAAAGGAAATAATATTAATAAAACAAAAATTTTAAAAATGGATATAGAAGATTGGCTTGGGAATATAATGGGTGAGTAGGCTAAATATTCCCCATTTTTCATGACTTCATTTCTTAACTTTTTTTAATGAGATGGTAGTTTGATTTCCATACTTGCAAACTCTTACCCCTTTGAGGAGCCCTAAGATATACAAAATTTACCATCTTACGTGACCATGAATTAAGGTAGTAAAAATTGTTCTGGTATCACACCTATAGAGATGAATGGATGCTATCTTTGGATCTTAACTAAGAGCCACCAGATGTTGACATTTATTATAACATATTAACATTGCTTGCAGAACACAAGGAACCACATATATTTGTGTAGAAGTATTTATATTTATCATTTAAGAATAAAATATTTCACTTTCACCACATTTATGAAATTCTGTTTCCCTTCCAGTATCTATACACACAAGGCCCTTGAAAAAGAAACCCTTACTTAAAATACAAATAAGTAATGACGTTGCTGACACAGAATAAAAATCCTACAGGCTTATTTTTCTGTCCACAGTATGTTGCTTTCTTTGAGAATTGGCAGCTACTGAGTGTAAAGCACAGCTTCTGGTTATGAGTTTCAGACTGCTACGTGTATCTCACCAAGTTCCTATTAGAAATGCAAGAATGAAAAGAATATAGCTGTTTTCCTAACCATTAATCCAGAGATACAGGGTTTGTTCCTCTAAGCATGAGATTGAGTTGAAGATTAAAATAAAAACAGCACACACCAAGTTATTCTTTTTTTAGCATTTTTATAATTTAATATTCTTCCTTTAGTGGAGAACAAATTGATTCATATGATCAAAAAGTAACAATATTTGAAGTCTCTCTCTCTCTCTCTCTCTCCCCCCTATCCCTCATCTCTCTCCCCCTCTCCCTCTCTCAATACTGTATTTCAACTTTGGGTGATTTAACACCTACAGCTTCTACTGTGCATATTTTAAAATTCCCAAAGCAACCTATTTAACAAAAAATACAATGCTGCAAGATGGAACTTTGGGCCTTTCATTGGTTACACAAAATGACATCTACTAAATTATGACATTTGTCAAATACAAACATGACATATTCAAATTAAGACTTTCATGACATAGCATCCCCTTAGCATCTAGCTTGTTTCTTATGACACTAATAGAATTTTTTTAAATGTATGGATATTTGTCAGTAATGATGGCATGAAGTGGTTGTATAAATCAGAATTTTTTTTAATGTACGATATTTGTCAGTAATGATGACGTGAAGTGGTTGTATAAATCAGGAAGGCTACAAGAGAGGGTTTTGTTGTTTTCTTTTGTTTATTTTTTATCAAGTCTCTTGTTAGACTGAAACATTTGAGTGTTTGAATTAAAATCAGTCAGTTAAAAAGCTATTTCCTTTTACAATTCTGATTTGCTAGAGTAACAGCCCTACTAAGTCAATAAACTCTTTCATCTGTCCTCCTATATCTACTCTAGAGCAACAGAAAATTGTAGTCTGTGTTATTGATTTCCTCAGTGATGAAAACCACAGAGATAGTGCTGCGCTGTGTAATGATAGTATTTTACAGTGAAAGTTATAGTTTCTACTTACCAATAAGCTGGGTATTTCTGGCATAGCATTGCACCAAAGTCTTGCAAAGAAATAATACTGCTCTTGGTCCTTATTTTGGAAAACAAAGTCTTTCTAATAGTGAAAGTACCCAGCTTGCAAGAAGGATGAGGTCTATATTAAGAAATAGATTGGTGGTAAAAAGGACAGCCAGAAAGTTGCAATTGACAATTAGGAATTATCATTTAATATTTATTTACTTTAGGAGAATTAGTGTCTTTGAGGCATTAATAGTCTTTCATCAACATTGCAATATTTATCTCAAAATAAAGCTAGTTACCATTGAACCGAGTATGCTATACCTCTGAAATTGTATTCCTAGTTGAAATTGTATACAAATGACTCTGATATAAATGTAGACATGCTGCTAGGTAGGAGAAATTCAAAGTTTATAATAGAGGTCAGTAGAATTCAGAAACCTAGACAATGTAGTGTAGTATATTTTAAAGGCAAATTGATACTTAAGAGCAATACAATGTGAAATATGTAGAGCATATTACTGTCAATTCTTATTCAGTAATGTGTTCAAACAGTCATATTCAGTCACATTCCTTCCTTAACCACCTCCCTCAATACAAATAACTTTGACTCAAAATATGCAGAAATATTGGGTAAAATATTAAAACAAAAAATATACATATACACATGTATGGAGTGTATGTATATGTGTGTCTGAGAAAGAATGAGTCAAGTTTGAAAGATAGAGAAATCCTCAAATCATCAAAATAAAATAGAAACTCAAAACTAGAGAGGTAACTGCATGAGTGGATACCAGAATAATCCAGAGGGGCACTGACCATGGATGTAGATCCTAGGGATTGGGAGTTAGAGGTGTTGTTTTGGCACAGAGGCCTAGGCCCAGAATGTGCACAAGCCTGAGGCCAAGAGTTGAAATCTAGAGCCCTTGGAATAAAGCCGGGTCTCATAAGTGGCTGCTCCCACTTATGAGACCATCTAGAAAATTTTTACCCGCCAGCCCAGGGAAGCCACAGGAAAATTCATGACAGAGAAAATAAAAATGAAATCTTCACTTAAATAAAGCCTATAGTAAAACCACAGTCCTACACCCAGATCTGCTATGGAGTCTAAGATACAGTACTAAGGGAATAAAAAAAAAAAAAATATGTAATTAACATAGTTGCTGAAACTTCTAGGGTACCAGCAGAAGCAAACAACAAGTCATTCTCTTGAGTTCTTTCCACAACCCAAGTGCATTGGTCTCTAACAAAAATAGCCCACTCCTGGAAATGAGATTACAATACGAAGTTTCACATCACCCAAGGGAACAATCTGCTGCAAGAGAGAGTGCACAACACAGTGAGTTACTTAGCACTCTCATAACATGGACTCAGAGCAATCTGAGTGAGACTATAAAGTAAATAAAAGTAAAAAGACAAACTGTATTTTTAAAAGACATATAAGCACAAATGCAAGAATAGAATATTGTAAAAAGGATAGACAGATTTGGGGAAAAATCAAACGAATGCCTAGAAAGGTAAACAATTGAAAGTTAAAACTCAGTGGGAGGTTAAAAATCAAATCAGAGACAACTTTGGATACAGCTGAAGGGAAAATTAGTCAACTGGAATGTAGATCCCATGAAACTTCTCAGACTACAGGGAAGAAAGATAAAGTAAGTGATTATATAAAAGGGAGGTTAAAACGCATGTAGAAGAGAATGACAATACCCAAGTTTGCTCAAGAGAGCAAAATTTAAAAGATTTTCAGACAATTGAAATGGAGAGGGCTTACAATTCACAAACTCTCACTGAGTAAACTACTAAAAATATAAAATAAAAATTGATTCTTTAAAAAAAAGAGAGACACCAATGAAGAGGCAGAAAATACAGATGGAAGTAAATTATTGACAACCTTAACATGAAATATGGGAAAGTGTGATCTGAGTTAAATTTTTCTAATTTCTGTATAGTGTTCAGTAAAAAAAAAACACTATTTGCATTCAATTCCATTGATTCAAGTTTACCAATTAAAATAGTAAGCCTAACTACACACATAAAAGGTGGGTATATAAATTCAAAATAAGATTTTTAAGGGCAGGAAAGGAACAACAAAAAAAAAACCATAGTAAATGAAAACAATAATTTAATTAAGATGGTATAGACAAAGGATCATCATATATCAGGGGTAATAATGTAAATGAATTAAATTTACCTGTTAAAGGAGGTTCAAAATTGAAAATTGTAATAAAAAAATCCCATTTGATATTGTTCAGGAGAGACATACTTAAATCCATAATTATAGAGAAAGATTGAAAGCTAGAAAGTGGAACTTAACAGTTATAGTGAAAACTTTATTTTAAAATAGCTTTGACTATCTAATTAGGCCATTATTAATTCAACTTCATCTCCCGTTAGGCCTAAGTAACACATACCAGAGATTGGTTTTGCTCATAGTTTTAATTTAGGTGTTTGTTTTTCTTAGACTCTATAGTTTTTAGAATATTTAATTTTCTACAGAGTAAGTAATCAAAAATTTTCTAAATTGTTTACCACACTCCCAGTTTTGTGTTTCAAACACTTCAGAAAATACGTGGTTCCCCAATGTCAAATGAAATTTTTCATCAAAATCTTCGAGGGTTTCTTACAAGATGATTGGATATTTTAAAGGTATAATAATGCTAAATGTTAGCAAATGTGCAAAGTGAAGTCTCTTGTGTTTTTTCTAATGGGAATGCAACTTTTTACAATTATTTGGGGAAGCAATTTGACAATATTAGTTAAGAGCTTCAAAATTGTTTATACCCATTGGTCCAGTAATCCTACTTTAATGAATAAATTTCAAGAAATTAATCTAAATACCTAAGAAGATATATGCCAA